AGGAGGGGAGCAGCTTGGCACAGAAGGTGGAAAAGTTGATGCCGCCCGCTCTGGCAGAAGGCGGCCAGCTCAGCGCCAAATAACTTGTAACGGGCTGCTGGCAGGAGGGGGCAGGGGTTGGACCAGCCAGCTCGCTCCCTTTCCCGAAGGGACTTGGCCAGCGTCCTCGGTGCCAGCAGAGAGCTGAGCCGGACAGCCCCGCGGCGAGGCGGGGGTGAGCGCTGGAGGCGAGCGCTTCTCCCCGTGCCAGAGGCACAGCCCCTCTCGCACGGCAGAACCCTGGGCCAGCAGCTGCGCCGCGGCGGAGAGGAGCCAGCGTCCCTCGGAGCCCGGCGGCGGCCGCCCCCAGCGCCGGGCGTGGTCCTCAGCATTCGCGCTGATAGAGGAAACGGCTGAGCTCAAGGAAGCAGATTGATTCACTCTCCACTGGCTGTACGGCTTTTACCATTCTCGGATATCTCCACTTTTGTCAGTTTGCTTGAATAAGCAGTAATTCTTTCTTCTTCTCTCATTCGGCAGGTGCTTCGCAGTGAAGAGAAGATAACTCAGAGAGACCAGGGATGCCTTGGCCGAGCAGAAAGAGAGACAAAGGAGCAGTAGCAGGTCTGTGCTGACATCCAAACTAATTTAGCATCTCTCACTTGAGGTTCCAAGCTATAGTGAAAGTACAGACAGTCATCTTAACCGTCTGTCTTTCAGAGCCTCACAGACAGCATTTCCTCTGTAAAAATGGGCTGAGCACCCATGTGTGACCGACACAAGTCTGCCAGATATATGATAGGGACAGGGATGTATTCTCAGCACAAAGCGATTAAGAAATGCAACTCGTGCCCATTTATGAAGGGCTTTCACATCCTGTGTGCCAGAGATGGTCAGTCAGAGTGTACCCAGTGTCGGGGCAGGAAGCTGCTGTGGTACCGTCCGCAGAAAAACAAAAAAGCAAAAACCTTGCACTTGAGGTACCATTATGTGGTGTTTAAAGCATAAGATGAAAAAATTGCACAGTTGGCTCATCCATGCCACTCACCTGCTCAGTTGACTCCAGCAAATAACCACCTTCCTACCCTTTAATCTCTTATTGACTGTATTTTGCTGTCTGGATCCTGGACAAACAGGGATCTAGACCGCCTCTGAACAGGAAGCACAGTGGAGGCTTCATCTAAGGTTTCCAGCTACTGCAGTAATTGAAATAGCTTGCTTTGCTGCTGAACTTCCCTGTTATTCACCAGACTCACCAAAATCAACTTTGTTGCCTGCAGCTGATTTCTCAGCAATTAATTAAAAAAAAAAAAAATCAGCTACACTTCATGTGAGCAACCCGGTCTATCCTGGCCTTTTTTTATGATTAACTATGACTATTCAGTTACATTGCTGCACACCACCACAACAACAACAAAAAAATCCTTATTTCAGATATAACAAGAAATACTCAGAAACGGTGGTGCATAATGCTGCTATCTTACCCATAGCATCTGGCGTGCAAGAAACTCCTATTGCAGTCAAATATCAGTATGTGAAATCAGCTTGGATGACTACAAATGTTTCAGCACCAGTCCTTCTCTGAAACAAAATGTTTTATCTGAAGGGGGGGGGTGTTTGTTGTTTCTTTTAAGATAAAAAAGAACCTGATGCTAAAATTGCCAAAACGGAGGAGGAGACTCCAGATAAGGAGGAAGAAGAGAAGTCCACAAAACCTCCAGCTGGGAGTTCCAAGTCAGGATGGAAGAACTGGAAGAAGACAAAAGACTCCGACTCCGGTGGGGAGGAAAGCAAGATAACATATTGTCACTGGCTTCTGAAATCAGAACCAGAGAGCAGGCTCGAGAAGGGAGTGGATGTGAAAGTAAGCACCGACACCCATCCTTACTCAGCAACGTACAGAAGCAGTGTCACTACTGCAGAGCATCAGTGCCTGAACGCAGAGTTATGGGATCAGACAATTCCGATTGTTTGCAATATTTACACTATTGTATCTTCTCAAAACCCATTTGTCTTCTTGGAAACAGAGAGACATAATGTCATTCTCTTCCAGGGTGACAACCTTGGGGTTTGATACTTGTAGTAAAAGAGGAAGTCAGGTCCTCAGGATGCTTAGCTGTTCATAGCAGGGGCAAGCATCCATTTCAGACTCTGCCTTTACACTGCTGCAGTGTTCCTCCTTTGTGAAGGCTTTTCTTTGGCCCCTGTGGGAACCGAAAAAATTGTGTCAAGTTTGTACTACTAGGAGCTACTAGGAACAAATGTTTGGGCACAATGTAGACATTGACACAATAAAGATCAGATTACCTCCTGAACTTAACCTGCATTTTCATTCCATTTGGCAGTTCAGCATTGATGACCTGAAAGCTCAGCCCAATCAGACAACCTTTTGGGATGGAGTAAGAAACTACCAGGTAAGGAGCACATGTCAAAGCAGGAGTCACTGAAACACCACTAGAAAAAAGGTGGCTCTCCCCACAGGCTCCTCTGCCTGAAGGATTTCCTTTGGAGGCCCTCTGCCTGTTTTTGCAGGTGCATTTGTCAGGAGTCAAAACTCCTGCCTCTAGGTCAAAGGTAGATTCAGGCTGGGTAATATTCTGTCAAATCATTCAGTTTTTCTTTAGCTTAGACCAGCCTTTATTTCCCTTAACACCTTAAGCAAGTCTGTACTTGCCCAAATACTGTGCCTTGTCTGTACAGCTTTCTGTCCCAGACTCTGCTGAGGAAATCCACGTGTACTTCCCCCCTATATATGATCTGCTCTGCTGCTGACAGCTAATGTTAGTCTTCTGCCATCCCTGAACGAGGGTGGCTGAGCTGCTTAATTCCCACATACGTCCTAACCAACAGGATCTTGCTCTTTATTTTTTACCCAGTCTTTTACCTCTTCTACCTGTTTTTTTACCTCTTGCTCTTTACGTTTTTTACCTAATTTCACTACAGCACAAAACATCTGTAGGAAACTTTATCTGAGCAGCTCTGAAGCACAGACACCTCTCACCTCTCTTGTTGTTAGTTTTTGTTCCTAGCTGCTTATAATGAAACCCTGAGAGCGCGATACAAAGAGCTCAAAGTCTCATGTTTACACCTGACAGGCAAGAAATTTCCTGAGAGCCATGAAACTTGGTCAGCAGGCCTTCTTCTACCACAGTAACTGTAAAGAGCCTGGCATTGTTGGCATTGTCAAGGTGAGTGCCTCTTGTTCTGTGTTTTGGGGAGAGGGGTAAGTAATAATCGATGGGTTCTCATACAGCTCTGCAGCCCTATTTGTGTCCTGGCACCAAAGGAGTGCAAACGTTGTGCAGTCAGAGCAGCAAACGAGGGCCTCTGGGCTCAGCAGCACGTATCTCAGCAGGGCTGACTCAGGCATCTTTCCCCAGAGAAATGGAACCAAGCTGCTGTTTTCCTGCTGACATTTCAGAGCTTCCAGACAAGCCAAGTGTTGCTCCACATTCTGATTAAAATGATTCACTAAATTCTAGTCAGCTGAGCCTGCAAGGCAGTGGTATAAAACCCAGGGCACAGAAAAGCTTTTTAAGAGGAGAACTTGTCACAAAGACTATCATCGTCTACCCGGTTTTCCTCTGTTGCGTGTGCTCCTTCCACACTGCTCTCCAAAGAGGTGATGATGCTTCTTTGACAGCCATAGTGTTAATGCAGCGCGTCGACCCAGGAAATGCAAAGGAAAAAAATAGATCTCACCGTTAGAATGGAGTTCAGGGAAAGCAAGACTGATTTTTGCACCAGGATTGTTCCTTACGTCTAGTCACAGCTTGCTCGAGGGCGTTTCGTACCCTTTGCTGACAACGGTTTTTAACTTGTCTCACATTCTTCTCCCCTTCTGCTCCAGATTGTAAAGGAGGCATACCCTGATCACACACAGTTTGATCAGAAGGATCCTCATTATGATTCCTCCAGCAGAAAAGAGAACCCCAAATGGTCCATGGTAATGTAATAAACTAAATACAGCTGCTTCAAGGTCTGTGTGCAAGCTGAGTGAAGGTAGAAGGCTCTTTGCATCATACAGCATATCTTCTTAAGCTCCTGTCCTGGCCTAGCCACCTTTTTCTCTCTCAAGAGAAAAATCCCATCCTGATTTTTTTCTCTACCTTTCCCCCTACCTCTTCCAGCAGACTGCCAAAATGTATCTCCCTAAATTTTCAGATCTGACTCGGATGCAGAGCTGACCTCCGTGCACGGCAGAATTCTGGGTTAGGAAAAAGAACAAACATCTTTAAGTACCACTCTCAGTCTAAAGCAAGCAGAGCTGTAGTTCTGAGGCTCACTAAATTATAGGGAAGTAACTGTTCACAAGCTGGCTGCATCCTGCAGCTTAGTGTTGTATTGTCTGTGACAACATGAATGTGTGTTGCCAGTGCACACTGCTAAGAGTCACGTAAACAAATCACCTGCCAGAAGTATCTGAAAGTTCTTTTAGCCTTGAGCAGGGAGAAGCTTCCGTACCATTATAAGGTTGTACACATCAGCTGTTTGCTTCAGTTTAAAAGCTTTATCCCCCCAAAGATCTTATGTGGCATCCGGAGGCTTTCTCCTTTTCCAACCGTGCTCCTTTGCTGCCCGTCACTTCCCAGGTGGATGTCCAGTTTGTGCGGATGACAAAGCGGTTCATCCCCCTTTCTGAAATCAAGGCTCACCACCTGGCCCACAAAGCAGATGGAGGCCCCCTGAAGAACATGATGCTCTTCACCAGACAACGTCTTTCCATCCAACCACTGACACAAGGTAAGAACCTTCTGCTCTGGACTCTCGGTGCTGTTCCCTCTGAGAGGCAGCCCTTGCTCAGAGAACCTGGAAGTTCCACTTATGGCTTTTTCTTCCTTACCTTTTCAACGCAGAGGAATTTGAGTTTGTCTTGAGCCTGGAAGAGGAAAAGCCACATTAAGAAACTGACAGCAGCACAGCTTCCCCCCAGCCCGCCGTTGCCTCCTCCTAAACCAGCGTAATTCTCAAGTTTACTTGCTCAATCGCAGCAACAAGAACATGCCTGCACATGATTCGCAGCTACACGTCCCTTATTCTGACACACTGTTATTTTTGCTTATTTTTAAATAAAGCCTTTTAGAATCAATTGCAGCTACTCAGTTTTTAATAGTGGAGAAATCTGCAATTTTATCTCTTGAAGGACGAAGCAGGTACATCCTCCTTCAGAATGTTTACTACAGAATCCTGTGCAGTTCCAGGTACTGCAGAGGGACATTTTTCTGCAGAAAGGTATCACTAAGCTGATGTCTAGAACAAGACAATTTAGATGTATGTACGCATCCAGCCCGACTGCTGCAAAGCAGATCACAGTTAACTCCCTGCAGGTACAAACCTTCCCATATTATTTTAGTACTGACATCAGGGAAATAGAAGAAAACAGAGCTAGCTTGCTAATTTTTAAGCTACGTGGGTCCTCTACCAGCACAGTTTCTAAGCAGTGACATAGCTTAAAGACCAAAAATTTATAAAAGTTAACACAGGACAAACTCCTTGAGCACATTTGGAGGACTGCACAGTATGGTACTAAAGAAAAATGTCTTAATATCATAAAAAGAAAAAAAAAAAAAGGCAAAACCAGACCCGGGCCAGGCAATATAAACCATATCAGACAAACTCATGCACAGCATTTGACAGCCAGGGCTGGCTCTTTTTAATTGGAGAGACAAAAAACCCAAGTTTTAAAATACAGCCATTGAAAAGACGACGAATTAAGAAACATGTAAACACAGCAGAGGCTTAATTACAGGTTGCACTGCTTGGTTTAGTACTGGCACACTCCCCCCTGCCTGACTCTGCCTGGGAGAGAGGGAATGACCCGAGTACTGAACAGAACCACCCAGCTCAGGGGAACACGACTGCTCAAGTGGCAGCTGCCCCTCACCATGCTAATGAAATGCTTTTCTAAAGTACCTTGTCCTGGAGTGACTTTATGCTTCAACTTCTCTCTAAAAGATGCTCCGCACATCTGCTCCACCCCAGACAAACAGAGGGCCTAGTGGGTAACAGGTTGAACGGTCCGTTTAGATGAAGTAAAAATTTCTAAATTCCACAAGTAGGGACACAGGTAAGAAGGGCACAAAGTAGAAAAAAAAAAAAGAACAAACAAACCTGACCCAACGTATAGGCTCATGCACCTTTTCCAAGTAAACCTTCCAGAAGTGATGAATGGATGTTTAATAGAAATCTCACTGTCTTGTCAGACAATTATCTTACACCCAGTACTGATGCTGTTCGGCCAGTAAACGAACTGAATGCAGAAACATCATCCATGGGGTTTCTTTAATACCACACGGCCTACACTCAGGAATAGGCGAGGGGAAAAAGAATTGTAGGTGGGACGGGAGTTAAGGGAAAGCTAGAGGGCAGGTAGGGTGCTGCTGTGCTCAGCCTAGCCGTGGAAAGAGTCAGCTATCCCCAGAGGCTCCCACCGGAGCTGCTCCTGTCTCTAACGGGCCATGGCACAGGCAGCTCCCGCTGCACAGAGCGGGAAGTAGAGCGAGTGCCAACAGCAGCACCCAGATTCCTCTGCCACGCAGCAGCAGGTTACCACCCCTTGCCCTGGCGTAACAAGGGAGTTGTCTAAAGTAAGCTTTTGCTTCAGTCTTAGGAAGACACGGCTCCAGCCCATGGCACAGACTTCTCATGTAAAGAAAAGCAAGCCACGTCTTCACTATTACAGAGCAGAAAACATGGTGTGACACAAGCATTCAGCAGAGATGAGATCATTAGTGTCCTCTACAACACAGCGAGACTGTCCAGCTCTACTTAAAACCACAACCTTACACGTGGTGAGTAAAAGATAACTTACTTTGGCAAGCAGAAACACACATTTATCACTGAAATACAGTAGCTGTCTTATTACAGAAAAAGCTCCCCTTCCCACCCAGGCCCCACTCCCTCCACCAGCACTGTTCCACTAAACAAAGCAGAAGATACTTCCATTTCTCAGCTGCAAGACAACTGTTCTACATTCAGCTGTAGGAGAGAGGCAGAGGACGTTCACTCCAGTCAAAAGGAAGCTGGTCAAAACCCTAGCAAGCCACAAACTCATAGGGAAATCCAGACACATCCCACTTGCTAGAGCTCATCTCCCAGCATTTTGGGCAGGCTCGTCTCTCCCTCTGGTAGGAGGTCTAACCACCTGCCTCCTTGAAGGGCATCTAAACAGGATGGATATTCTCCAGACTCAGTCAAGTCTACAAAGCCACATGTAATTTTCAATGGAGGAGTGACTCCCTTCTGGGAACGCTCTCATGATTCTACTTAGCTGAAGACTAAAAGAAGCTTATTTTAGAAAAGAAAAAACCCGCCTTCAGGTTCTCAGTTCATGGCATAGCCTCAGACCTCACTGGTGATTTCAGCTCAGGCTTCAGGATTGTGTCTCTGGAATCAGAGAGCTCTACCACCTTCCAGCTGCTGCTTGGCTTCACCGAGCAGCACACACAGGCCGTGAGCTTCTTCAAAATGATTGCATCCGCTTTCTGTCCTTATTAATCCTCATCCTGCAGGTACGAGGGAGCGAACAAACCAATACATACGTGTTTCAATACTGCCTCTGTCCCTACTACAAAGCCTGCTCTGTCACAAGGACACAGACACGAGCAGGGCAGCGTAAGCCCGCTCCCACAACAGTCCCCATTTATTTCTCACCTTCCAAAACTCTTCTCTAGACCTCCCAAAGCTTGTCTGCCTCTGCTCTGCAGCAGCAACTGGAACCTGTATGCATGCAGCAACCAGAGAGACTGAATCCCAGGGGCGCTTGGGCTGTTGGGATAAGACTAGGAAGATGCTGCTTTTGGCCAGGAGCCTTCCTGCCCCCACTTCTTGCCCACCCAGCAGCATTGGGACTGTCACCGCTCTGCCCAACCTGTGTCACCTCCCGCTGCACTCACACGCCTCACTCCCTCCTCCCAGCCCCACTCCCCGCCCGGACACAGCCCGGCAGTCGGGAGCTCCACGGCACGGACACAGCAACACGCCTGCTGCCCGTGCTCCACGTGACTCCGTGGCAGTCCCAGGGCTGAGTCAACTACATTACACAACTGTTTGTGACAAGGAATCCGACACCAGCATGAAGAGGAAGGGGAGGCAGTGAGGGGATAACGCTAAGCAACTTCAAGTAGGCCGTGCCTCAGTCTCTGACTCCCTCCTCTACCTTCCAGCTAATCCCTGTGTCATTTTCCCTCGTGAAGATTTCAGAAAGGCAAGAAAAATATCCATCCTACACAGCCCCGAAGCAACCTCCACACCGCCGGGAAGAAGCAGTGGATTTGGCCTTCACTTGCTCTCTCCCTCCCCGCTGCCACGCTGACAGTGTGTCGGGGCAAGGAGGAGATCAGGCAGCTCCGCAGCCTCCGGACACGTGCCTCAAAGCAGCCGACCCCAGAGGAATGTCGTTAATTGGGGAGTGCTGAGGTACCTTCAACTCCGCACCACCAGTGCTCCAGCTTTGCCTTGCCCTCCCCTCCCCTTCCCATCCTACGAGTCCTTTGAAGAAAGGAATTAAGTCAAAAACGGGTATTTATTTTCATGAAGTCTCTGAAGTGTTTTTTTTTTTCTTCCTCCTCGCTGCCGTCCCCAGCGGCTCGGCAGGAGCCTTCCTCTGCGCAGCCTCTCACTGCCGGCCGTTGTTCTCTGCAGGCTGGCTGGGGGTCTTGGCCTCCGTGTGCGAGGACGTCCCCTCGAACCGCTGTGAGGCGATGGCTGCTTGGTGGGACATGCTCTTCCTCACGATGTCTCCTTTCCGCCAAAGCACCACCTCCTGCAGTAACACAGGCTTGTCAGGGCTTGAGACCTTCTCCTGGCCCCACCCAGACCCAAAGGCTGAAGCAAGCTGCCAAGCAGAGGCCTCACCACACAGCCCTCCTGAAAATTTGGGTAGAGCGCTTCTCCCCAGGATCTCAGCACACAGAGGCAATCCACTGCACATCCAGGGCAGTTCTCTGTTGCTGCTGTCTACCCCATTGGAATCGATCAGGTGAAGCACAGAAGCTCCACCACAGGGCAACAGAGAGGACAAGAAGTCCCACCTTCTCCATGCATCCCCACCACCACACACACGTGGACCGTTCCTTCTAGACTGTCTTTGCGCACCGATTTGTCTCATCCTTATGGATGTTCAGTCAAGATCATGATTCTCCCCCCCAAATTCCCAGAAGGTCCTTATAACAATATCCCAAGTGACGGTCTGCAGGTCCAAGAAGAACTAACAACTCTGTTTCTCACCTGCTGTTTAAAGTAGCGTCTCTCTTCCTCATCAATCAGCACCAGATTGAGGTAATAACGCACTGAGAACTTCTTATTGATGTCCCTCATCGTTGGAGTCAGCTCGTAGCCAGCCAGAAAGAGTCTGATGGGAATGGACTCCCCTAGAAAGTGGCACAGAACCATCAGCACAGACAGAATGCACAAATACAAACTAGGAGAGCACCAGCAAAACAAAAGCTCACTAGGCTTTGTGACCATTCCCACAAGTGGAGTAAGATGAGCTAAAAGACCTTCAGAAATAAGCACACATGGTCCACAGCCAGATCCTGCCCCTGCTGACAGCTATTTCATCACCACTTTATCAGCACAGGGCTCATTTGTGACCTGCATCAAGACAGCACTGCAGCAAAAACAATGAGTAAGGTGACATTTTCTCTGGCAGGTGACTCTGCTGGGCAATGGAACTGGAAAACAAGTGGCACAGGAGCTTGGCACAGAGCTAGAACACCATCTTGCTGCTCCAAGCTGCAGCAATGCCAGCTGGTGGCCTGTGCCAATAGTGAATTTACACCTATTTCTGGTTCTGCCACTGCTTCATCAAAAGAATAAAGTCATTGCAACTCATTTTGCCTCACTTCCCCCTCATCCTACCAGCGAAGGAAGGGGATCATATTTAATTACCTATGCAAACTGCCGTGAGTCTGACAGTGAAATAGGATGCACATACTACTGAGCACACAAATTCAGCTGAAGATACAGCAGGACTCATATTCCCACCCCAAAAAAATTCAGAAAAAGATTTCTGAAGGGCTCATCTGCCTTCTCACCTCTCACAGGTGCCCCATCCATGATCTCATATTTAGCTATTGTGTCATTCTCATGATATACGTTGGGTCCAGTCCCCGTTGTTTCTCTCTTGATGATATCTATCTCCATGTGTTTGATCTTGATTCGCACCAGCAGGAAGTAAATCTTTCCAACAATCACATCTTTTAAATGATACCTGGCACAGGAAGGAAGAAAGCACCACAATCAAACACTGCGCAGCAGATCAGGACTCACACTGAAGAGCAGGAATGTGCTCGTCAGGCACTCCGCTCTCCTCCACGGCCCCAGCTTTAAATTTCAGATGGCAGATCAACCACCACCTCCACTAGGCTGCTGTAAACAGCACTTCATCTTTCATCCTCTGGTCTTTCGGAAATCAGCAAGAACACAGAGCGCAATCAGATAAATTAAAAACAGAATTTCAGGCTGAATATCTGCAAGAAACCCCTGCAACAGCAAAGCCTCCAAAACCTGATTTTTTTAGGTCAATTAAAACTAACCCAAATGTTACACTGCAGGGAGGTTTGCTACCATCAGCTGGGAAAGATGCAGTAAAAGTAATTTAAAAGAGCCGTTTCCAACTTTTGTGCCTGAATTAAGCAGTATTCAGCTGTATTGCCTGGTAAAGAGCAGATGTTATACTTCGAAGACACCTGAAAATACTGATCATGCCAAGGATACAGGGAATGTGAAGTTACTGCAAGAGCCTCACGCTGTGCTCCAAGCTCGGTAAGCCACAGCCACTGCTTCCCATCCCTGGTGCAGACAGCAAGGAGAGGAACCCAAAAACCCACCACCGGGATCCAAACTGCCTGCCAGCCTCACTGGAGCAGAGCAACAAAGAATCCTTCTGAGGATCACAACACAAGACACGTGCCTCAGGCCTCCAAACCAAGCTGTCCCCTGTAGCAGATCGTTCCCCACAGCCACACAGATCGTTCCCCACAGCCACACAGATCGTTCCCCACAGCTGCTCTTGAGACACTCACTTGGACTTGTTATACTCGAACTCGATGTGTAGGCAATCCTCAATCCCCACCTCCATCTTAATAGAGGAGTTGAGCTCTGGGTAGGTGCTCAGGGTGTGCACAACTATGTCCATCTCCTTCACCACATCGTTCAGTCTGCGGCTGACAGTTGCTCGGAGGAAATACCTGCAAGGAGAGTCCCCCTCCTGTTAGGGCTGAGCAGGTAGCAACGGGGAGGAAGCAGGGAGGGACACGGGGCTGAATGGATTGCGTGGGGCTATCCAAGCAGCCTTACTGGTAGCCTGCTCCTGGAGACACCATACCCCACACGTTGGAAAAGGCAAAAGAGGAATTTTCAAACAGAAAAGCAGACTCTTCTAAGGCTTTTCTAACCCTTCATGCATTTGTGAGCCTGAGTTACCTAAGCACCGTTTTGGGGATCTGAGTAACATCTTGCACATGTTCAAACCACTGCCCTTTTGCATGAGATTAGATCACACCAGTCTCCACAGACACACCTCTTTCTGCAGATCTCAGAATTTTCCAACCCCCCGCTTCAAAGCCAGTGACTGGATTTCAAGTCAGCTGGAGTGCCTGGATGTGAAATACAGTTTGCAACACATGAACAAGATAGAAGCTAGGCATCTGTTTGCATACAGAGCACAATTAAAGTTGACAAGACTGATTACAAGGCAGCAAAAATGTCCCCATTGGAGGCTAAAGCAAACAATTTACTTTAGTTTTTGGATTACCAAATAAATTAGAAAGCATGTGGTTGATTCAGAAGGGGCTGATTTCTCCTGTCACTTAAATGGGGCAGAACAAGTTCCACAAAGCCTGATGCATGCTTATAAAAGCAGAGCCCCCAAAGACAGCCTTTTACAGCTCAGCCCACCAAAATGCATTTGGAGTTCCATTAGAAGCTTGCAAGGACTTCAGCGAAGGGATGCTGCACTCCGGTGTCATCACAGTAAATATCATTACTTGCACACCACACAGAACCAAGAACTGGGGTCACCAAGGGGAGGAGACTCACCGTAACTTCACATTCTGCCCCGTGTAGGACTCGTAAGGTTTTTCCACATGAGTGAATTCGAAGTCAAATGTCTGAGATTGAGTGAATTCACCAGGACGGGCCAGGTCTTTCACCAGAGACACGAATTCATGGTGGTTTCCTCGGTCATAGTAGAGTTCTAGGAAGACACAAGTCCAAGTTAAGCAGTGACGCTTAATCCTGCGACACAGTGGGGAAAGACAGGAGATTTCACAGCTCTCTTGTCCAGATCACTACTTCCTTCGCCCCTGTTCAGAGAACCTACCAGGGGAGCTGCAGCTGCAGCGTGCTGTTTGTTTGCTGCTCTCCATCAGAGCCAGGTGCTGGCCAGTGACAAGGGAAGGAAAAGAGCCACACAGCCTCACCTACTGCACCCAACCAGGAACTCGGCTTGCCTTAGTGTGGGTCACCTATTATCAACAGTAATTACATTCAGACGGTTTGAGAAGAGGAGCCAGCAGCTCATGCAATCCCTTGCAATAATTTTCTACACAATATTCCAGGCCAAAGGCATTGCCACTGTAAAGAGAGGAAGAAACACCACTGCTTCTCTGCAACAGCAGTGACAGAGCAAAAACGAAGGGCTAGGAGGTTTCCAACTGTTTATGCTTGTCCTTTGACAACAAAAAGAGTTCTGAGTGGTCTTGATTTGCACCAGGGAGTAAGTGTGATGGTGGAGATCCTCACCCACTCTGCACAAAGCCAGGGTTCAGTGCATGGCTACCAAGTGTGCAGGGAGGCAGCCGAGTCCACCAGCCCCTGGAGAACGCACTAACGGCCACATGAGCACCGACGAGGGAAAAGAACTTGCCTTTGGAATCCCCGTTCCAGCCAGCTCAAGTAACCAGCACGGTCACATTGCTTCAGTTTTCCCCCCAACCTTCTTGCATTAGCAGGAAACAACCGCAGGTTTCCTCATTTAATGAAAGCAAGCCTCTCTACACTTCCACAAAGTTTTTTTCCCTTAAGTCAAACCAACAGAAACTTAAAACTCTGCAATTTGCATTAACAGCTCTGTATTACGCATAACCATCAATGAAACCTGCCCTTCCCAACCCTGCGTGTGAGCTGTGTGACTACGAGACACCCACGCAGTCCTTCTAAAAGGTAAAGCCGTAGCCAATCTGATACGGTGAGATGAGGAAACACAAACCCAAGTCATCAGACAATCACACTCACACACAAGTTCACTGTCAGCACTAAACTGTGCAGAGGAGGCTTCTGAGAGGTATCACCAGCGTTCAGGAACTGCAGCGAGACTCAGTTCTCTGCTCCTTGAGATGCACAATGAGATTTCAGCTTTTTGTTACTTAAAGCCTCCTGTTTCTTACACCCCTTTGCTCACCTTATCTCTATAATGGGCACTACAGCACCCCTCACTTACGCAGAACAGCGAGTGCCATCAAGCCCTTTAGGCCAGGCAGACAGGTGACATAAATAAACCAACTCTCTCTTGCACTGAATACATGTCCACTGAGATGAAAGTGCTTGTTGATGTGACAGGGCGAGGCCACGTGCCACATAAAAAGAGGAATATATCGTCTGCCCACACGATGCAGGAGGCAACAATCGAATTTAAAGCAAGGGGAGGCAAATGTCAGCACACCAAGTTCTCTGCTACCTCGGAAGGGCACAGATTGGCACACTGCAGCCTTAAGAGGAGGAAGGATTGATGTTTCCCACACTTCAGAAGACATTAGCATGTCAAACAGGTATGAGCTGTAATTTCAGGTTTTCAGAGCTATAAAGTTTGCAGCTGAAAAAAAATAACCTGCCAACGTTTTGGCTCAGGACACAGTAACAGCAGGAAAACCAAAATCTTAAATGGGTTCTGCGCTCACCGGAGACCACGCGGGGCACAGCGATTGTGGTCAGGACGCTGGTACCCAGTGTGGAACAGCCATCTACCCTGTGACACATCACTCCTTTACAGCTGTCTCCCTACCTGTTAAATTGTCTCATACAGTTTACCGACCTCAGGCAACAAGAAGTCAGCGTAAGGCAAGCTGTTTGAGATGAAAAGCATTAAGGAAGTGCGACTGCTTTAATAAAGTGACCCAATGGACAAAAAGAACGGGCTGGTGTGCAGCCACAGCAGCTCCTAACACACCCTGCTTGGGCAATAACATGAGCTCAAAGCAGTTACTCTAAACACGCATGGCTCAAAAGTCTTCCAAAATGGGGAATGAGAAGCAGGCGAGGCAGCGCGGAGGAGACGGAGCGGAGCAGGAAACAAAGTTCATGTTTGATTTCCACTGATGATCATAATCAAATAGCAGGAGGTCACAAGCTAGCTCCTGATGCACCAGCTCACTTACACTCCCCCCCATTTACCAGCTCTCTCCTCCTGTCCTCCCTTTTCTTTCCAAAAAGTGCTGTCACACACAAGCGAGGCTGGCAAAAATATTAAACAGCAGTATCGGGGTTGGGTGGGAAAACCTCTGGTTCACTTTCCTGCACCACACGATTTGCAATGCAAAGGTCTCAGGCCCACGGCTCGCGCAGTGATTCCAAGGGTTAAACCCGAGCATGGGGAGCCACAGACGTGAGGCGTCGCACACGCCGAGCACAGTCGCATCACTGGGAACATCTTGAATTTATTTTGGCTTGTGGGACTCGGGCACGTCCATGAAACACGGCCATCTCCAAGGCAGATCGGAGAGTGGGCGTGGCAGCTACCTTTCCTCTAAGAAAGCACGAAATATGAAATCTAAATTGGTTACACGCACAGATAACCACGAGTTTTGAACAACTTGAAGCCGCCCAACTAACCATGAAGGGGTGCGGGGTCACTCCCTCAAAGAATCAGAGAATAAAAGATGGAATCAGCCGAGCTGAGCCCGTGGGCCTGGGGAAAGCTGATCTCCCCGTCGTGGGGTAGGGGCTGGGAAGGTGCAGCGGGTGATTTGAGGCGTATGAACAAAACCCACCCGATTCACCATCCTCGGCAGAGCCGTCGCTTCCCGAACCGAGTCGACAGGCACAGAAGAAACGCAAACAGACAGCCCATAGGGCTACAAATAAAACCAGCCTGGGGAATCCAGCCCGAGAGCTGACGTTGCTAGGCTGTCCGGGCTCAGACCTGCAGCTGCAGGACAGAAACTGAATTTTACCCTAAAGCTGAAATCGGTGACCGAGCAGAAGCGAGAAAATAGGACGGGAGAACAATGACCTGGAAAAGGACTGGAGTTCCCTCTTTTTTTCAATTTTAATTCCAGCCTGGGTGAACACGGTCTGGGATCTGGATTTCACAGAGGCCGAGCCTTTGGACTCCAGCATAGCGGAGGCCGTCACGGAAGAGGGGCTGAATGCTTTCACCTGGCTCTACCGGTCCCTGTCGCCGTTCGCAGCGGAGAACCAAGGGGACGGTCAGGTAAGGGCAGCGGCACCGGCCACCCTCCACCTCACCGGCTCTGCTGTCACCCGGGTCCGTCCTGCCTTGAAAACCACAGAATGTTCCACAAACGGGCCAAAACAACCGTCATCATCTGTGCCAGAGCGCTTCAGAGGGAAGCTATTCCCAGCTTTAAAAGCTATCATCTAATATAGTGCAGTATAAATGATATCTAGTATTATATACTGTAACATAATTCTTGGAACCTATTTTAAAATACATGTACTATAATACGTATGGGGGCTGGTTGCAGTGACAACTGTTAAAATGTGAATAGTAGCTACTTGCAGGGAGTTATGTTACTGTGGGATTTCTCACTATTATGTGTTTTGCCTCAGAATATCTGGACCTTGTTTGCCGAAAACGGCTTCTCTCATAAAGCTCTCGTGGCTGTGTTGCATCACTTTGTCCAAGAGGGCCAGCACAAAAGAGCTAACGCAGAGGAGAGGGTTTACGCTCTTCATGCAGCTGGGTTGTACTTCTTACTGCTGGAAATCCCAGGTGAGCGAAGGGATGGGCCCCTTGCTGTTGGATAAAACGTTGTTCAGACAAGGCCAGCTTCCTTTCTAAGAATTCCCGGTGGAACAAGAAATGGCTTTTGAACTGTTCACTTGGTTCCTGGTATCAGACTCTGCCGTGGTGTTGAGCGCTGATCTGCTGTTATGCTCTGATGGCAGCTTGGACTCCTGTCGTGAAGTGGCTCGATGATCTCAGTTGCCGTGGTCTTAGTAGTTCTGTGACAAGGTCAGGAGTCTGCACAGTACACAGGGCTGGAACCACACACGTCCCAGGCACAGACACAGGCTGGGTGAGGAGGGGATGGAGAGCAGCCCCAAGGAGAAGGACTTGGGGGGGTTGGTGGGTGGAAAACTGACTGTGAGCCACCAACATGCGCTGGCAGCCCAGAAAGCCAACCGTGTGCTGGGCTGCACCCAGAGCAGTGTGGGCAGCAGGGCAAGGGGGGGATTCTCCCCCTCTGTTCTGCTCTGGGGGGACCCCCCTGCAGGGCTGGGTCCAGCTCTGGGGGCACCAACAGCAGAAGGACACGGACCTGCTCGAGTGGGGCCAGAGGAGGCCACGAGGATGCTCAGGGGGCTGGAGCCCCCCCTGTGAGGGCAGGCTGAGAGAGTTGGGGGGTTCAGCTGGAGAAGAGAAGAGGACTCATTAGAGGCCTTAGAGTGACCTTAGAGCGGCCTCCCAGGACTGAAAGGAGCTACAGGAAAGAAGGCAGGGACTCTTGATCAGGAGGTGCAGGGATAGGACAAGGGGTAATGGTTTTAAACTGATAAAGAGGAGATTTAGATGAGATATAAGAATGAAATTCTTCCCTGCGAGGGTGCTGAGGCCCTGGCACAGGTTGCCCAGAGAAGCTGTGGCTGCCCCCTCCCTGGAAGGGTTCAAGGCCAGGTTGGACGGGGCTTTGGGCAACCTGGGCTAGTGGAAGGTGTCCCTGCCCAGGGCGGAGGGGTGGAACTAAATGGTCTTTAAGGTTCCTTCCAACCCAAACCATTCCTTGATTCTATGACATCTTTTTGGTTTGACAGTAATATGCAGTGAAGGCAGAAGGTCATTCCTGTTCCCCCTCTGTAACTAGTGAGGATTTCACTGTGCAGTGCTCTTGGACAAGTTAATTTGTGAAAGCAAAAGCATTTGTTTACAATAACCATCAGCTGGAGTTTTCTAGCAGGTTGATTCACTGCAGTATCCTTTTGTATTCAAGGCTAATGCATACTCCAAGGTTTTGCTGATCTTTGGTGTGCAGCACATTACCAGCTGGAAGGGGTCAGTCAGCTGGTGATCCTACTGGCGAATGTCATCACTGATGCCATGTCACCCTGATGCAGCTTCGCTCTGTTCAAACAATTGTTTTTTAATTCTCCTGAACTTCCTTAGGCTCCCAGGACAATGCCTTTCTCCTGGCCATCTCCTTGACTAGCAAAACAAATGGAGAGGTGGCCAGATGATTTGATGCTCTCTCTGTATTTTGTCTGGATGATGGCTGATGTTGTCTTTTCTGGACAGGCAGCATAGCTAACCAGCTGTTCCATCAAGTGATGTTTGATAAATGTCTGCACGCCTTAACAAAAACTTGGCCTCACAAACAAGATCTAATGAAGAAAAGAAAGAAGACGCAGGCTCCAAGCTCTCAGACCAACGCAAGAAGAAATAGAAAGAAAGGAAAATCATGCAGGAATGACAATGTAAGATGTTTATGTAATCTCTTCAGCTATATATTTCTATTAATAAGCAAATTGTTAGCAAGCTATTTCATTTCAGTGAAAGGTCAGTGTGATAGTCATCCTCTTTTTCACCCCTTTTTTTAATTCTTAGCCTTTTATTCAGTTCAGCTGTGTTCTTGATCCTCTACCTATTAGGAATTTCAGAGGTCTGATGATTCAACGTTAGCTGCAGTTTCCTGGCTGCTGACTAATGGAAAAAAATGCAGGTTATTTGTCTGTGGCATGTTGTTAGAAAGCTCAGTAGCAGAGGGAGAAACTAATGGATATCGGCTTCTTCAAGAGACCTTTAAGCTGGTATGTGACCAGCTTGCAAATGGCGTTTGCGTTTCCTTGCCAACTTACTGATGGGAAGTTAAGGGCTAAGTGCTTTGGTTAGCTGTACTCGGCTGCTCCTTCTAACATTTATATGTTGGGTTTTTTTAAACGGAACTGAGGATTATGCATCAGAAATCCTGAGAGAACGTCAGTGCCGCAGGGTCATGACAAGCAAGGGAAGAAGGTCACAAGCACAGTGGGAATTGAGATGAATCTCCAAGTGTCAGATTGGAATTCAGATAATTGTCTTTGGTTCTGATGGACTTTCTCCTTCAAAATGAGAACAGGCTGTGTTGGAGCTTTCTTTTTTTGTATCCAACTTTCTTTTTGTTTTGTTTTGTTTGTTTTTTTTTTTTTCTCCCCACTGTTAAGTGCGTTAATTAATCTGAAAGAAAAGGTTCAGAATTTAGGATGGGAAAACATGTAGGATGTCACCTGAGAACCCTGTGAAGCAATGAAAATGTGCAAAATAGATCTGCCAGTGCTGTGGGGCAGGGTGGTGGTGTTTCTTTTTTCTATCAATGTAGATGGAAGAGATGTCGGAAGAGGAGGAGGATGAGGAGGAGGAAGATGATCATGAGAATATTTACTTTTCAACGGACGATCTTCTTCAAGTTCGCAATGCAATCTTCCTGCTTTTGAAAAACTTGTTGAGACTTCTACCTAAGTTCTGCCTAAAAGAAAATTCTCAGTGTGTGCATAACTGCTTGCAGGTAATAAGTTTGAACTTAAGGAACTTTCTGTTCCCTCACACAAACTTTTGGTGGGTGCAGAGCACTCCATAGCCACGGGAGCAATGGCAGCCCTGCCTTTCCCAAACTAGGCCCCTGGTTAGACTGTCCTCAGCGTAAATCTTGGAGTGAGGTGCCTGTGTGTCTGTCTTACACTTAACACTTTCTGGCTGGGGCGTTTTGAGGTGCTTAACCCTCACCACATGGTAGTGAGCCTCTGGGCTTTGGGGTCTGCTTATG